CTTAATTGCATTTGTATACCCTTTTATTAACCTTCTTTATATACACTAATGTAAATGGCAATCACGAAAATAAGAGCTGCCAATGACCAAAGGCCACATTAAAAGTGTTTGGGAACTTTTCCATTCTCTCCTTACAATGCTCACACTGCAAATCATGCAGAAGTTGGGATTAGTTTTTCTTAATGGTTCCTATGAGGATCAGATTACTACTTTTCTGTTAATAAACACTTTGTGTATACATATGTACATATATATATCACTGCTTAATTTCTGGTGAGAGTTAAACTGCCCGGTTATCTCAAGACTTCAAACTTTTGGCTGACACAATACCTGCAGTTTGATCTTTTCAGAACATGAGATTTACATTCACAAGCACTCTCCCAGCAGGAAGCCGATTTCAGAGTCACACATACACTTTAAACTTGGCATACACACAAATAATTTTGAGAGGCCACTACTAGTTTTTGTAGGAGAAATGTAAGCAGATGATGGGCAGTCATGAAGTATTCCATAGGTTTAGTAACTTGTGCTCTACGGAGCCACAATCCTGATGGAAGTATGAGCATTACCTTACCTTGAACATGTTTTTCTAGAGCATATCTACATTATATGCTGCATCAGTGCTGTGCAATGCTCAGGCAAATGGCACTGTCTGCTGCTTGGTGCATACCAGAAGTTGTACTTACAGCTCAAACTGAGCTTCTGCAAAGTTCATGACTGTACTGGACCACAGCTCCTCTTTCAGAAGTGAAATACATTATTTTCATGTGTTCAGGACAGTAGCCAATTTTAATGACAATTCTTTTTGCTTTGTACCACAGTTACCACGGAAAAGACCGAGTTTTAGTTTACCTTAGTATGTATACTTATTATGTATGCAAAAAGAACTGTTTACGAACTCCAAACAATTAACTGCACAGATTTGCCTCCAAAACCAGCAAAACTGGTGACTGTGTACAAATGAAGGCAATGCACCAAGAATACAAGGTTGAGTTTCTACAGCTGAGATAGTGTTTTACCTACTTACTTTAACTAGGGGAGAAACAAAGAAAAAGAAATCTAAAATGGGGTTTTACACAGTAACAACTTCAGAATAAAACTCTACTTTAAAAATATTTCTTGCAGGGCACTGGAAGTCATCCCTGCCAAGAAATGTTAGGTTTTCACTACTGCTCATGTAACTTAAGAACACATTAAGAATGCTGAAAGCATTCAATTTTTTCCATTGCAAATGTATTTTTGTATGTGTTTAGTCTATTTCAATTCATACTAGTTATCACTAGTCAGATTAAAAAAATAAGTAATTTTAAAATGTGTATTTTAATAATTATTCATGATTGTATTTATCGCTCTCAACTATTAATTACCAAATATATTTGCTGGATGTAAGCCTTTTGTATTTCAATAAAATATAATAAAAATATTTACCTGAAAATTTCACATGAAATTGAATTGGTATTGAATTTCCCACTAAAACACATCACATTATCTTAAAATTGATGTAAAGCTACAGTTGAAGGCCATAAGGATAGTGAAACAAAATTATATCTCCTAGATATCAAAGCCTGAATTCAATGTTTTCAAGTTTAAAAAAAAAAATTTTTTTGGCCTTTAAGACAGGAAAGTTTGATAACACTGGGTTTAAGACACTAAATAAAATCCAACACCACATCCCCACCCTGCACATAAAGCTCTTCCTGCAGCATATAAAGTTGAATCATTGTAAGTGGTTTCACTAGTTACTGATAATCATGGTCTAAACAGAAAAAGATATAAACAGCATACAGCATAGAAAATTATAAACGTTTGAAGTAATAATAATAAAGGTTAAAAAATTAGTAAGAGAAGTAAAAAGATATTTGTTTCAACAAATAATGAGAAATGGGGAAATGAGGTATGATAAAAAGATAACAGAATCAGAATTATTCAATATCAGAATGTTATTTTCCAGGAGCACTTACCTCAGAAAGTAAAGACAAACTCTTTACTAGAGTAGCTTTAAGCATCATAAACATCTGATAGAAAAGCTTCAGGCAGTCCCAGCACACAAATTCTTTTATCCTTCTCATAATGTAATTTACCCTTACTTATTATGCTTTAAATCTTTAAAGACAAAGTGGTAAGAGATACAACTGAGATTTCAACATGGAATGTATTTATTTTTTTATTTTCAGTACAGTGTTAGGAGGTCATTTAAATACTTTAAAGATTTTGGAGAAAAACCCAAAGGATTTGACTAGCTAAAGAAAAACAATCTTATCAGTGTATGAAAGACAAGTATTTAATGACCTTGTGATCTTCAAAGTAGCATTCTCTACAAAATTCATATTCCTGGGTCATCTACTCAAGAATGTAGCCCAGCACGGTGATTCACTTTCCCTCCTTTGTTTTGTGGAGTGTTTTATACAGAACATCTCAACTATAATGGGCAGCTTCACTGAGAGGCAGGAAGTTGGTGTTTGGTTTGGTTTGGTTTTAAATCAAACACACAGAACCAAGCCAATATGTTTACCTCATCACTTTGCTTTAAGAAACAAGTTAATTTTTTCCTCTATAATCATAGATCAGAAAGGCATTAGGCAGTACTGCAGTCGTACAGATCAATCCCCTCTCCACCTTTTTTATTTCCTCTCCAAATTAACCAACAGTATCATTATCTGACACAGTAGATGGGACAACGGAAACAACCAGTGAGCACTTGAATATTGCCCAACTTAAGAAAAAAAAAAAGTTATCTGAAATGAAGTGACAGGGGTTTTTTGTACAAAAACATCAGTAAAACTAAAAGCAGATGCTGCCTTTGTTGCAGAAATAAAAAAAGCCTGCTACTGTGCAAACTACAATACTCTGATTTTTGGAATGCACCGTCTGCTTGCCTCAGGCATACTTCTGGGACTGTGCAAAGAGATAGGAACACCTTATTTGAGAACATCCAGCCACCAGTTCATTTTCCACTATTTCAAAGTCAATTTTGTATTCCTGACAGCTCATATTTGTTAGTCGTTTAGTTAACAGTAATTCCTATACATTCCATTCTGGAAAATAAATTTTCTTTCTGATGCCAGTCAAGGAAATCCTGGCATAATCAAAGGAAGAGACTGGAAAAATAAAGTTAATCTTCCACATACACACATACTTAAGTATTGAGGTTCTTTGCTTACCGTGTTCAGTTTCATAACATTTTTTTCATTTTTATACATATATATTAAAAAAAATTGAGACAATGTGGTAGGTCAAGAAGCTAAATCTAGTTGCTAATAAACACAGGTTAGGGCACCACAGCCCTGTATCAGTTCCTTGTATCTCAATAACAATCACAGCTTCTTGCAGTGCTATGTTTCTGGAGTCTGGAGTTCTGAAACTTAGGTTCCAATTCAGCAACATTAAACCAGGAATCTAAATTTCACAGCATCTTTAAATTCACGCAACACTTGGCAGGTTTGTACAGGACTTGCTAGGCAGCAGTCTGATGCACTTCTCCTGTCATCTTCCAGCCAAAAATTCATTGCTTCAGTGAAGAATTTGGGTAAAATGGGTGCAAATTGGAGCATAGGAGGTTCAAGGTGAATATCAGGAAAAATTTTTTTACTGTGAGGGTGACGGAGCACTGGAACAGGCTGCCCAGAGAGGTTGTGGAGTCTCCTTCACTGGAGTCATTCAAAACCCGCCTGGACGCCTTCCTGTGTGATGTACTCTAGGTGACCCTGCTCTGGCAGGGGGGTTGGACTAGATGATCTTTCGAGGTCCCTTCCAGCCCCTATGATTCTATGATTCTATGAAAATGAAAACATTTTCTCACTTGCAGTCATACAACCAATAAGTAGAGGGGTGTATGCTGCAGAAGCTGAGATTTCCTGATGCAGTGGATTAACTCAAATGAGAGTTAATGTATTACTCAAGTACCTCCACGTGTACTACAGTAAGGAGTGCATTTAGAACACCACTGTGCACACAAGCACAGTCTAGGGTCAGCAAGGATGGGTACATCAGGAGCTTTCTCTGTGCTGCAGAACTGAACCTCTTGCAAGGTATTAATTAAGTATATTTCTGCATTTAAAAAAAAAAAAATTCCAAGAAGTTTCAAACTGAGTGAGCAGTGAGGAAATTCTTTTATAGTGTAAGCAAACTGTCAATTCATAGAGCAAGACTTCACTTTTAAGTCAGGTTGAGTAAGTAATTGGACATCAAGCTACTTATATTTTGAAATCCTATCTGAGAGATAATAAATAACCAAGTTTCATTTGTTGAAATAATGGCCTGCATGTTGAAACAGTGTTCACACATATGAACAAAACACATCTTAAAACTGTATTAAATTAATAATTCAACTCACAAAAACTCCCAAAACAAACGGCTTAGTAAGGGAACTGTCACAAGCTATGAAACTTGATAGAAGAGATTAAGATAAAGCTCAGTGTCCAAATCACTATGATATTCCAGTATACTATGGTAGCTGTTTCATCAGCACATAGTATTAAGATAGTATATTAAGATCCATTATGTTATTGGACCACATTTTTATTCAATCTAACAAAAGGTACAGGCCTTGTGCATCTCATTACAATTAAAATAAACAGGACGTTTGTATTCATTTAAGTTACACTGCCACCGAAAAGCTGAACATATTTCCCTTATGCTATCCTTAATCTTATAGGCCTCCAGATACAAGCCTTGGACAATTTTGCTTCATGTATTGAAATCACACTACCTGGATGAACAAACTGTCCAAGAATTCCTAATGACAATTTGGTCAGAAAAATAAGCCTAAAGGAAATTTCTACTTCAAGAGAAAAAAAGAAACCAAGGGAGATGTGGTGTAAGCCCTAATGAACAGTACATTCTTTGAGTACCTCCAATATTATGTAATATTGACATATATGAATGGTCTTCTCAGAATGTACAGAAAACCATTTCTCCTCAAACAAGACAGAGAATGTATTAAATAAGAATTTATGGGTCTCAAGTTTAGAAAGATTTCTTGTCAGTTTCTGAAAAAGGTCAGTAAATACAGATGCTAACCAGTTTTCAAATCAGGACATAAAATGTCTCAGATTATATAAAAATATACTCCAACTTCTCCGAACAGAAGTCAAAGCTAAGGCCTCACAATTCCAGTTATTAGAAATAGCATGTCCTCTTTACTAGGCCACCACTTGAAGCCAACTCTTGAGTGTTTTAAAGAGAGGATTTTATAAAAAGGTGGTTGCAATGCAGTTCTTTGTAATATGTACCCAAGTACAGACAGATTGCTTCAAAGTGTTAAGAGTTATATCAGTAAATGTTAAAGAAAATGCAACATATAAACAAAATGCAACAAACTACACTGACTGAAGTTCCTTCAAGGCCCTCATACCTAGTAAAGTTCACTACACGAATTAAACATCATAAAGTACAAATTAACAAACCACATGATTAATAAAATCTGTGCACTTTATATTAAACATCTCTAATGTGATTATAGACTGTTTACGTCCCCTGTTGCACAGAGGAAATCTTCTTCCCTTTGTATCTTGGGCAAGGGTTCTCATGTGGAATGCTGCTGTGCAAAACTGACCATTTATTTCAACAGGTTCTGCAGCATTGCTGTAGCATACGTAGGACGAGCCTGTCTGCTTTCAATTGCATTTTGGAGATACTGGATACCTCCACAGCGCTCCCAAATTTCTTCAAACTGTCTCGGCAAAATTTCAGCACCCCGCTTGCGAGTTAAGCCAGTCTCTTCAAGGTTAAGCTCACACATATCCATGTCATCTTTACCTGAAATGGTGAAAGGAAAAGGAAAAATATTTATCAAGCTTTTACATCATTCAGAAGTCCCATTAACAACGATTAGATTTCTCTCTCAAGCTTTGGGAAGCTGCAAATTTCAGCATTTCAGCCTCCTATGCTAAACAATTAGTGTTTACCAAATGGGACTGACACTAATGAAATGGTGAGTGTAGCTCACTCACTATATTTTAATCTTATTTTTAATAGGTGAGGATGTGGCATGCATGACAGCAATGCTAGTTTTTGCTGTGGGCTTTGACACTAAACAGGCAAGGATGGGTGTTGCATTTGGATTCCCCCTTTGTCTATGATTTCCCAAATTAAAGTACATGTAGAAGTACAAGATGGGACCAGTTACATCTCCAAATGATATTCCATAAGATTTGGCCACCATCAGTTTGTTCCCAAATTCTCAAATTCTGCCCAGACAAGAACCACCGACGAAGAAATGAGGATACTACTTGGGAAACCTGTATCATCAGCTTCTCCTTCAGTTGTCAACTCTGAACCTTTTCAGCATTTGATTTTTGCTTTCAATACCAACCTGCCACAAGGAGAATGGGTGCCTTGTCAGGATGAAGTTCCATCTGCCGAGCAATCCATGGCCCATCAAAATGTGCATACCACCAACCCTTCTTCTTGTTCTGGGGGTCTTTGTATTGGTCCGCAGGACGGATGAAGGGAATGCGGAAGTAGCGCTGCTGTCTGTTCATTTCAATTTCCTGTTGTCTGGCTGGTAGCTGGGTTGCCAGGTTCTGTTGAGCTATCACACACAAAAAAAAAAAAAATAAAAAAAAAACCCAACCAAACAACCAACAACAATAAAAAAAGAAAACTATATTATGACTTGCTTGATTAATCAGCAAAGTAAAGAAAAAATAATACCAAACCAAAACCCCAAAATATACCACACCTCCCACCAAAACCTGAGAGATTCTTTTTGAACAGAAACATCTCTTTGAACATGTAAAGTCTCATTAAACCTGAGAAGGACTACCATCTCATTTAATCTGCACTCTTTTAATCATTACAGCTACAACAGTGGTGAGGAAAGGCTCATATTGTACCTACATATTCTTCTATAGGTCGTTCAATGGCATCAGGTACGTTTTAGACCAAAAAAAGTGAGTAAAATAACACATTCTGCTTTAAATCATATTTAAGGTAAAACTTCCCATATAAAATTTCTTACCAACCAGAAACATTAATCAGTAACTGCTCTAATTCAGTCCACCTCTTTGTAAAACAAGGTCACAGTGCAAAGAAGCATTTTCAGTTACAAAAATACAAAGCACTACTTAAACATTTTTGACAATCAGCACAAAAGGGTGTGTGTAATACTGTTAGAAATTACTAATTTGTTAATAGAAACGTTGACAACATATACTGCTTATTAAAAAGTTCACACCAAACAACTTTCTGCCTAGATTTCTGTGTTAAACTTCAGCATTAGAACTCTCTGGTTGTTTCCTTTTTCAAACAAAATGTTTACTTCAGACCATTAAGATCAACAGACCAAACTTCTAGTAGAGTCATATTTACACAAAACCTCTTAAAGCTTCGTCTATATTTTTGGCAAACATTGCCCATGTGCAATTTTAGACTCTCACAGAGTCTCACACATTTCAGACTTTGGAGATAAACTTGCTTACAAATAACAGCAAATACTGTTTAAGAAAATTTGAATGTGAATCTATGCCACCTCTGTGAAAGAAAATCAGTATTAACAGTTCCATGTTTCAGCATAAAGGGAGTAATTAAAAGTGAATTCTTTTTTGTATATTGTTTATTAAGCAGCAAATCTCATTTTTGATCTAACATTTAATAAAATGTTAAATCAAATGACAATAATTTCTAACACTGTACTTTTACAGTTGAGAACAAGATTAACAGACTAGCAACTGCACTTTTAAATTTCTCCCACAGATAGTTTTTCTAAATGTGAAGAGTAGAATCTTAAAAAAACCACTATGTACTACACATATCATACTCCCCAATTTTTCTTCCCTGTCTACATAAACGAAAAGAAGAAAAACAAAACAGATTTTAATAGATGAATGCTACTTTTATACATCAACTCTGATAAAAGATGTATTTTACAGGGAGACAACTTTACAGTTTATGAAATATTATTACTATATTCTGAAAATAGTTTAAACATCTATTGCAGCAGTTCAGTGCTTTAGTGTTGTCAAAACACTTTTTGCACTGATTGCTAAGGCTTATTTCTACCCCTGTGCATACCTAAACCTAAGAAGAATTCTAGAGGACAGGAATGCTAAGCAGCCAATACAGCCTCTACTTTACGCAGCTATGGAATCATAGTTCTTTATCCAAAAGAAACCACCACCTGAATGTTAGTTTGTGTGCTAGGAAAATAGCTGTTAAGTCGATTCCAGAGTTGTGCTACAACAAAAACAACATGTTTGGCCAGTAAAAAATGTGAGAACAAGCACAGTATTTGGGGGTGAGGATGGAATGGGGGGGAAGGTTATTTCATTCTCCCTTCTCATGACTGCTCACATGGACACGATCTCATGAAGATAAGCAGTAAAGTACATTCATACCAAAGGAATGTATAATTGCCATCAATTCAATAACAGATTTTTTTTTTTTTAACCATTAGGTTTATTGTACATGTGTAGCAAAACACTGGATTCATGTTAGTATAGAGATCTCAAAGTGTTCCTATTCTTTAAAGCTAGGTTAGAGTAACCATCTCCCCACTTACGTGAGTTGCTCAAAAATGGTGCAAAATCTGTGAACAAATATTACATGTTGAACAAAACATAGAAGTGCTGATCCTTTATGTTATAGTTTCATTACGTCAATATTTTCACCCATGCTGATGATAGACAAATGGCAATTCTATTACAAAATAAACACACATGTTGAGCTAAATGGTTTTATTCATTTTTCACTCACTGACATATATAAAATGTCTCCTCTCCTCAAGTTTCATGGATTTCCAACTGCTTCTGTTGTCATCAGGGTTTAACTTTGGATTTGATTACCTCAATGACCTGTGCTGCCTGTTATAAACCCACAGACGCGGACACGCCAAGCACAGATTGCTGTAACAAATCTGCTAGTTAATTAACGTAGTACTTTTAATTTTTGACATTTCTGCTAGGAAAAGTTTTCCAGTCCTCTAAATTTCCAAACCTGCTTATTCCAGTAATAATATAAAAACTAGAGTTTAGCTTCTATACCGAACATATACAGTGTGACATCAGTGAAAAGATAGAAAGAAAAAACTGCATAATTCAAAGCACACATCCACTGACACCTGAAAGACTTTCAGTTTGAACATCTAAGAAATCAGAGTTCCCCCTTACTACCTTCTCAGGTGTGTGTGTGTGTATGTATATATGTATAAAACACACACACACACATATGTATATATACACATATATAAAAAAAGATATTAAATAGTATAATTATTTGCAATAGGAAGAATTACTTCTGACATTACAAGAGTCTCTAAAGTGACTGTCAGTTCAGAAGACTGTCAGTGACTGTCTTCTGAACTGCAATGTTCTAACTTGCCTTCACAAACGTGAATCCATAGTTCAAGAAAAGTACAAAAACGCAATGAAAAGCATTGAATAGAATGCTGTAAATATCTACCTAAATGGGATGAGATCATGAATATTCCAAACTTTATTTGCACAAATAAGTAAGATTTTCTGCTCTTTGATACTTCCCATCAGCAATACTGTGCATGAATATTTATTTTAACCATTTAGCTCCGGATAGAATTTTTGAGCTTGAATTCAAAGCCTCTTACCACTTTGCAGAAGTGCTTCAAACACCTTCTCCTGCTCCTTAAAACATAAGCTTTCTGCAGCACTTAAAACCACATTAGAGGGCATGGCCACAAGGACCCATTCTTTGAGAACATCTTCTCCAGGGGGCAGATTTCACTTGCCATATATCTGTACCAAAGTTGCCTGAAAAGCTCAAATTCTCCAGTAATGCTCAAACAATACATAACTCAGTAAATTAATCAAGGAGAAGGTGACACCTCTGTATAAGGACTAACACTGGGACTAAGCAGGGCCACCTGTATTTCCTGGGATCTGTATCCCCCAAGTCCCAGGACAATGCTCGAATCCCAGGCTAATGGGACTTTGGGGAGACCATCTTCTCCCCATTTTCCTTTTCCTCTGCCTCTCTCATAAGCTGTGTGGTCAGGAACACAAGAATCACAGAACCAGAAGACAGCAGGAAAGACCTGACTAAACGATTACATCCATTCACTGTGATTCTGTTAATTTCTTAAGATTCTTTCTGCAACAGATGATCACTGGACTTGGGTGGTGGGGTGTGGGGAAAAGAATAACAATCTGCTCTGGAAATATCACTCCAGTAACCAGGCACCTAATTTTCAGGTCTGTCAGTGCTAAATATGGTAACTCCTAAACCTTCTTGTTGAATTTAAAAGGCAGTCAGTTATTCTCGTTAGTGCATTGTTTTGACAATAAACACTCGTCTGTGAAATCAGCAGAATAACAGTCTAATAAGAAAGCAGGGACTATGAAAAATTCATCATCCCATAATCAAAAGCTGCAATATCTACACTTACAAAATTTCAAAAAAGTGAATGTACCCTGAAGTATCTAAGGCTGTACATCACAGTAAGTGATGTAACTGAGGAAATTATTAGCACCTCTTAAGAGTATCTTCGTCTATGTCCATATACCTATGTTTTATGAAAAGAAAAAGCATGAGGAAAAAAACCTTATCAGTAATACTTAGTTTTGTCTGGACCCCAAATGTAATACTGAATTGCATAATAGAGCAATCTTGCTTCTTGAAATCTTCCTTCCAATCATGCTCTTTATAGCACAAAAAAAAAAAACACCACCACACCATAACAACAAACACAAGCCACATGCAGTTCTCTGAAGAACAGTCACAAGTGCTGTTGCGCAGGGCTCAGTATTGGTGCCTGCTCTCTTTAATAACTTTATCAGTGATCTTGATGAAGGGGACTGAGGTCACCCTCATTGCAGACAGAACAAAGTTGGGCAGCAGTGTTGATGTCCTTGAGGGTAGAAAGGCTCTATGGAGAGATCTGGACAGGCTGGACTGAGGCCAATGGAACAAGATTCACCAAGGCCAAGCGCTGGCTCCTTCCCTTGGGTCACAACAACCCCATGCAATGCTGCAGGCTTGGGGAAGCCTGGAATGCTGCCTGGTTGAAAAGGACCTGGGGGTGTTAGTCGACAGCGGGCTGAACATGAGCCAGGAGTGTGCCCAGGTGGCCAACAAGGCCAACAGCATCCTGGCTTGTGTCAGCAACTGTGTGGCCAGCAGGACTAGGGAAGTGATTGTCTCCCTGTACTCAGCACCGGTGAGGCTACACCTCAAATACTGGGTTGAGTTTTGGGTTCCTCACTACAAGAAAGACATTGAGGTGCTGAAGTGTGTCCAAAGAAGGGCAACAAAGCTGGTAAAGGGTCTAGAGACAAGTCTTATGAGGAGTGGCTGAGAGAACTGAGGTTGTAGTAGCCTGCAGAAAAGGGGGCTCAGGGGAAACCTTATTACTCTCTACAACTACCTGGAAAGGGGATGCAGGGACGGGGAGGTCAGTTCTATGATCTTCTAATCTATCCTTAAGCATAACTCTCCGTTATGAACTATCACTAACTATTCTCAGAAAATAATATTTGTAAATACAGAGGTCAGAACTAGCAGGAACAACCTTAAAAACAGTCTCAAAAGTCTCCAAATGCAAAGCACAGTTTCACATATGGCAAACGATCTTCTTTAGTCTTAAGTAGCACAGCAATGAACATTTACCAAAAATGTCAGCAACCCCAACAGCAAATCAAGGAGTATTTTTAGCAGATGTGAGTCAGTATGAGAAAGTTTTAGGGAGAGCTATTCAGTACATGTATCTGCATCTCCTGAAAGTGTTCTACTTCCTGAAAAGTATTTACCAGTTCCAATCTTTTCCAACTACTTACCATAAATCAATAAATACTCTTTAAAGAAAGATGAATTTCCTTCAACCTAGCAAATCCAAAATTCATTCTAGAATTTTTTTTTTTTTTTTAACTCTTTTAATAGAATATTGTCACCAAAATTATTCAAAACACAGAATTATCTCTCCTCACCATAGTCTGTGACTGATTTGGGAGCACGCTGTTCTGTTTCTGCATTGCGTTTCTTGTTCTTGGATTTCCAAGCATGATACACCTTTAGCCTTCTGTGAAACTCTTCTCTGCAAGCCGCCAACAGTTCAATATCTGTCTCAAAAAGGAGGAAAGAAGAGAAAAGTGAGAAAAATCAGAAAAATTATTTACTAAATGCTTTTCTATATTAATAGGTAAATAATTTTAGATCACATTGTAACACTAATATGTTATTCTATTCTATTCTATCCTAATGAACCCTCATGATCTGCAGCAACAGGGCCTGTATTTAATGGCCCGGAAAGTCCCCTAGAGTGCTATATATCCTTTTTTTCTTTTAAAGTAATGGCAGTCCCTAAAGTGGCTGTTCTACTGAGAGATTTGGAGCAATGAAATGCTACAAATAAAATTTTCACTTGACGTTATCATAAGCCAAGTAGTACAAGAATTGATAAAATTCCACCACTGAACTTTATTTCTGCAACTGAAATTAAAGAAAATCGGCAATTTGACTGCTCAGATCTAGGCTCTTTTTCTCCTTTATTAAATATATTTTGATTTGGCTGAATCTCAGAATAATAAGAGACTGAATGATTGCAAAGCTTTTTCATTAGACACCAAAGAGCATCGAAACTGGCTTCACTAGGGCTGAACCCACAGTAGCACCATGTATTATTGCACTGCATATACAGCTGAAAGCATTGCTCCAGTCCTGCATATGCAAAACCAATGCAGACAGAGTTAGAATTTTGAGTTCATTTGGGGGTTTAAATACAATTAGAGAAAATGTTTTTTTTTCCAGTTTCTACATCCAGGGAGGAATTCTGAATTATCTTAAATCAGAAATTAACCCATTGCTTTCAGTCAGATGCAGGAAAAAAACAGTAATCTTTAATAAAGGAATAATTCTTATCTCTTGCTGTCTTCATAATGTTGGGGGAAAAGTAATTAATGTCTCAACTGTGAGCTTCCCTAATGAAGCAACATATTTTGAAAATTAAAGAATAATCTGAACATCTAAGACAAACTATTTCACGCTGTGCTTTACATAACTCATTTCGTTTTCTGTATTTAGTGACAGTAAGAAGTGAGAGCAAAAACTGTCTTGGAACACACAAATTGTAGGTAAAGCATAATCACTATGATTCCCTTTGTGGAAACACATAAAATGGAGAAAATTTAATTCAGAAACTATAACATGTATTTTATGGCCCGACCAGTTTATCATCATAATTGTATAATCAGTAAAGGAGGTAACAAAGGAAATTCTGTTTCCTCAGTATGGAAATGGATTAGTTTGCTGCTCTCTTTGGGGTAACAGAACTTTTAAAATTTAATTTGACATTCATTCATGCCTGAAAAAAATGAATGAGCAAGTTTTTATCTTCGTCATAGGAAGAAAGTAACAACTTTCATACAACTAAACCAGCTTCTTTCTCAAATCAGGAAAATAACCCAGAAACCACTTACCACAGGATGTATTTATTGTATCACGAAGCTCTGCATATTTCCACTTAGTGAGATCGTGCTTCTTAGTACCAGCAGCAGACTTTGTGGCTTGAACTGCAGGACCCCTACGATTATTTAAAAAAATATATATGTATTTTTTCACATATGAAATCAGAATTGTTACAATGGAAAGAATCTCATGATCAACACTGCAGCACGCTTATTACAATGAAAAACAGCAGCAGAGGGACTGTGTTCAAAGGCAAAGTACTGCATTATTTCCAAGACGTTCAAATGATTAAAAGAAAATGAAAGCATCTTTTACACCCAAAATCTTATAATAACCTGATTGGTTGCCTTGAGAGTAAAAGGAATTGTCATTAATAGTTAGGGCTTATGTGTGAAAACATGCATATTATCTTTATGTGTACCTCATCCCACACTGATATAGACTTTCTCAGCATTAGTCAAGATGCAGAATACAGATAACAAAGAGTGGCCATAAATATTTTTAGTCCCATTCAAAAAACAGACGAGGAAAAACATTTCTCTAAAGTAGACAAGGAAGAAAAGGTGTTTCTCTGCTGTTTAAAACTGGATTAGGAGAAAATCCTTGTCCCAGGACTACAGAAAATACTCCACGTCTTTGAAGAAAGTCTAATTTCAGAGAAAAAAATCAAATTATTTCTGTATTAGTTGTACAGAAGCTGTCTGAGAATAGCAATATTTAATGCAGGGAGGAGGGGCAAATCATCAATAAAAGACCACTCTCAGAAGAAAGGCTGACCAGTATAAAAAGACTCATGAAGAAACATTTTTCAAAGGCAAAAGGTATCTGTCATGTAGGTGGTATGCAATAAAGTCAACAGCAAATGCCAGTGAGAAATTACTACTGAAATCTCTCATCTTTAACAGTGTTTATAAGGTTATCCATGTACCAAACACTACATTTTATATATATATATATATAAACCTGAAATTTAATTTTTTTTTCTTAAAAATTACACAGATAAGAACTGGAAGAACTCCCCCTTAGGAATGGCAAACTTCCCATGGATTGTTTGGATACAAACCAAGTTCAAAACACTCCAACATTCAGTGACAATCAGAATACTTTATAAACACTAAGGAATTCAAGAACAGCCAATATGATTTTAACAACCTCTGCTAATGCCCATTACTAAGAATATGAAGCAAACTGAATTATCTTTCAGGATTTGAGAGGATTTGTTCAGAAGAAACAGGGCAAAGTACTTGATGGAATATGTCTCATTAAAAATTCATAAGACAGAAAACCAGAAGAAAGCAAGCCTTTTAATTTAAACTCTGTTCATGGAGCAATATCTTTGTGGGACCTTTACCTTATTTATGATCCAGTGAATATTATTTTAAAGTTTATGTTTTCATAAGGGTTTCATGTGATACTGTGGTTTTATGTTATTTTCCCTTTTCAGTTAATAGGTTATAAATTTTTCTGTGAAAATTTTCTCTACATAGATAGAGCAGTTTTGAAAGCAGAGATAACAAACACAACTTAAGTTTCATGAAATAAAACAATCTGTTTAACCAAAAGTTTTTAACAGCAACTGAACCAGCTCTTCACATGTAATTAAGACTACAGAATCTTACTGTTTATTGCAGCATCAGCTTAATTATGGCCTCTCATACTACTAATCTGAGTCAACACACAGCTTCCAGTTATGGTATGTGAGAAGCCTAGCAGAAAAAAATTACATCTTTGGCTTGTAATCAGTACGCAGCTGAGGGATAGGGATTTTTCCTCACCCTTAGTACTACTCATAAGCATAAAACAAATCATTAGACACTCTCCTTCAAAATACATATTTTAATATCTTATCATTGTCACACCTGTAGGACATTGAAGGATTGCTGTTAAATGTAATTTCCGCTGCCTACTGCCTAACCTTCTTGAATCTAATTTGACAAATCCTGAGGATTTTCCTTATTTAGAGCACTACCCACCACTTTAAGAGTTTGCTACATAATTTAGAGCAGCAGAACTAGGCTGTAAGACCTTTGGTTAAACTAGTAATCTTTAAGAATGCTAATCCAATTGAATGGCTTAGTTTTACCATTACAGTACTACTCTGCACTCTGCACACCACTCTTTTGTTTTCTACACTATAAGCATAACACACTGACAGCAATAAGACCATCATACTGGACAATGTCAGTATGACATTCTTCACTGTTCCATCTGGCAAAGTTATCTATCATAAATAGTATTTTCAGGCTTAAAAATAAGAATCAATCTCAATTCGAAAGTTTCTAGTGTAAGAAAAGTGAAAAATATTTAGCTAAACAAGCATACAGTAAGTATTGCATTTTTAATTCAACCAAAACACAGAGCCTCTAATTTTGCCCCAGAGTTTTGTGGGGTTTTTTTGCACACTAAGGATTGGTCACTGTCTGTTACTGGAACTATGTCAATACATGCAATACAATCCAGCCATTTAAATTCACTTGCTAACTTAATTACACACAATGCTGATCACTCCTACTCTTAAAAGACCACTGCAAGATACAAATCTAGTTAACAGCTGCATTCCTAATTATCAATACTACAACTATAAAATCCATCAATCATGTGAGACAATCATCTTCAGACTATACATACACAACACATTAGTTTGTTTAACAACAGATTCACTTTTAAAAGCAATTTCACTTCTTATGTAAGCTTCAGAAAATTAATGTCAGCAGGTTATTTCTGTCCTCAAGTTGCATAAAACTCTTTCTAACTATTCACTGATATGGAGGGAATTACACCAATTGCTTTCAACACATAATTAGTATTCTAACACAAACTAGTTACAAGACTGGTCCAGTAGAACATTCTCCTTTCCCTTTGCATTGTGCACAAAATCTTGCGTTAGCTTTCAAGAAATCTCCAAAGGGAATTTTGTTTTGTTGTCTTAAGAGAGGGTTTTAATATGCTTTTAACATGATAATTTTCAAAAATGCTTTTATTTGAAGGGAATTATAACTAGAATATTTTCTTATTAAAAGCATTAAGTACCTGCATTAAGTCTGTATTGAATCTGTAGAAATACTCATTTTAAAGATGTGAAGCCTAGTTTTCTGTTATCATTACCAGAAAGGTGAAAAGAGAAGAGAGCTGGGGGAATGTTACCAAAATTACACAAAATACCAGGGTATGTGAACAATTCTTATTCTTTTTTTATATAATAAACTAAAACAGCAGAAAATTAATTGCTGAAGAAAGGTGTTGACAAAAGAACCTGAAAGAAATAATTTACTGATCTGCTTAGCACTTAAACCCCCCCAGATTCCATTATTTTTCATTCCATAATCGATAATTTCATTTGTGATTTCTTTTTATAAAATGATTCATTTGATGTTGTCGTCTCACCTACCTAGACAATATTTCTGACATTTCTGTTGCCATTTGTTCCCTATAAGAAAATTGATAAATAGGCATAAACCAAACATATTAATTTTACAACAGCCTTTATAACTGTGAAAGTCTCTTGCCAACCAAACTGAAGCTAATTCAAGTGCACCAAAAAAAAGGATACTTATTTATAATAATTTCCACTCAGATATATATCTACACAGTCCTGATTCTGTAATCACAATAAATCACACAGGGCAGTGAAAAATGGATGGTATGTGAAAAAGGTTACAATAATTACATAACCATCTTTAAATAGATATTATTAGGTATATTAGATTATTAACTTGTTTATTAGACATAAGCAAAATATGGATATATAGTATTACAAATTGATTTAAAGTTTATAGATGCATGCTAATAAAGGTGATTACGGGGAATTAGTAAACCAGAGGACAATATCAATTTGCTTTGGATTAATAAGTTGCTTTTTTTTCTGTTAAAGCATTCAAATGGAAAAAATGCCATACGCTGTCATTTGCAGCTTTGTTCCATTGGCTCTGCAACAGAAGATATTTATGTTAGATAGACTACTTCCTAGTTACTTTTCTATTATTCTGAAGTCAGAAAAGGTGGGTCATAGTATTTACTGCTCTCTTATACCTTATGTTTGGGTTTTTTTGTTTGTTTGTTTGTTTTTGGGTTTTTTTTGTTACTGAGAAACAGGACTATAAATACCTTTTCTCCTTCACCTTTCTTATTCAGTCATGAGTGTTAAAATAATTTTTACAAGTTAAATTGAGATAATCTGGAAACATTGTAGCGGCAAAGACTTCCCCCACCCCCACCTTCCAAAATCAAAGACTTTGGTACACACTAGTGGTGTATTTTATGACTGGGTAAACATATCACGAATAATAGCAATGCTCATGTAGCTAATCTGGGAACAGAATAGACACCTTCTTCATGCAAGCTGTGAAAAGACACTACCTGTCCTACTAAAGATCCACAAGTACACATATGTAGCGTTGAATATGTTACAAATTCAAATTTACTCGGATTGTTCCAGTGCAGTGCTCAGAACAGACATACTCAGACCACCTTCCCTGAGGCTAGCTTATTTTGGTGCTATAAACCAAACTATATGCTTCAATAAGCCACGTAAATTAAAAATATTGCATTGTTGAAAACACCTATTATTTAAGTTTTTATTTGAGTGCTAAGTAGTTCTGCTAATTTACCCCTAGGTGCAGTAAATCCTTCTTTACACATGGTTTCAAATTGTGGATGAGTAATAAAATTGGAAAAAACTTGAACAGGTCCAGCATATCCAGCACAGAATAAGCACAAATTAAAATGCTGCATCTACTGCCAGAACAAACAACTGTTCTTTGACAGGAGCCAACAAGCATATTTTTCAAAGAGACTACTAATACATATGAACATTTGAACATCTACAAAAACTAATGGTGAATGCAGCAAGATATTGAGGAGAAAAGAGAGAGAGTAGAGACTACCCATTTTCAAATACAACAACATGGAAGCATCACATGTATTTTGCTCATTTTTAAGGAACAAGAGTTAGTCCAAAGCAGCACATAAAAAAAATCACTTTTCTTACTATTTTCACTCCACAGCTCGTACAGCATAATGGAAAACACCCTTTTATTCATGCCAATGTGTAAGCACAAAATGTTTACAAAATTGTGTGAAAACACTGTAGAACCAGTATATTGCACGTATCTGGCATGGAGTGAAACATGCCTTATCTTACTTACCACAGCTAAATTTAATAGAATAGGGAAATGCACATACATAACAGTCACAGCCATTTGAGTGTATCATATGGTAAAATGGAAGCCTTGAATCCAGAAGATGGCAGAATGTAATTTCCTAAGACTTCAATAAAAGTGTAATTGGTATCAGGTAAAATAACTCCTGAGAACGTTTAAATTATTAAATTACAGATTTTTTTCAAAACAATAAAGTTTTTATTTCAGAGAAGAATTCCCACAGCTTCTACCTTTAAGTTGATTGCTGCAGTTACTTAGGAAATCTATCCTTGGATTTCAATAGAAGATATTTGGGTCTGGGGAATGGTTTAGTTTGCTTTCAAATAAACCAAAACAAAATCAAAACTAAGGTGAAAATAAAAGCATTTTCTTCAATTTTTGGACATGCTTAAAATTCTTTGAAGTATACTGTAGAAAGGAAAGAATTTGCTAATGAGCTAAAAAAAAATCTCACATAAGAAGAACAGTGCTACCTTTTTTTTTCTAGTTTTACATATTATCTTGTTCAAGAAAGGATTTCCATCACTGTGTGAACTTGTTCAGACCATTCTGCACTTTACAATCACTCAGAAGAGTCTCCCTTCTCCTACCACTAGCTACACAGTGAAGAGAAACAGGCGGCCATAACTATCAGGATGGTTAGTGCACCATCCACTCCAGGACTACACAAGGAAGACGCATACCAGCTGCACCACTCATGAGCAGGAAACTCTGTGCAGATCAGAACTTCACTGACAGAAAAGTGACTGAATTCTGAGCCCTTCACATCTATTGCCTTCATACTTTCATATTTGAGAGAAATTTGCCAGGTTGAAACACTAGATTGATTTCAGGTTTACCTTCAAAGTATAGCACCAAAATCCAAACAGGGAAAGTATAAAAATGTCCAGAACACTGTCTGTGAATCACCTGGACATTTAATTGAGAAGGTTAGTCTTACCTGCAACAGTATAACTGAGGGCAAAACCTCAATAATTTTAGTGGAACTGTCCAAAAATCAGCACTGTACGGTACAAAAAGATTATCCACCTATATCATGTAAGTATAGAGTTATTACAAAAAAAGAATACATCTAGATAAAATTTGAACAACAAAGAGAACATGTCTGGGAGCTTGAAATTCCATGGGAACGCTTGGGATTTTCATACACCCCTTCTTTCAACAACAGGGTAGACTAGCACTAATGAAGTCACCAATGATGTGAACATGTTCATAGGTCCCTTTATGCAATTTGACCATCATATAATTTTTTTCTGGAACTTCTAACTTACTTCTAAGGCATCATCCTTGACATATGAAGAGCTCTTACTTTGCAGTGAATGTGGATCAGTATACCAAAGCCAAGTGCTATTTGTGACACATCAAAAAATTTACACAAAACAAAACGATTAAGACAATATTTAACTTTCAAACCCACCTATATTAAATCTATGCATGCCACTTCAAAGAACTTACCAGTCATAACACAGAAATAACTACTATTTCTGCATTCAAAGAGGGTTTCTTATTAAAAAAATCCATGCACACAAGTTGACACCATACTTCTGGAACCATCGAGTATGTACTTACCTGTACCACTGAAGAAATCCCATTCACTGCTTTGAGTCATAAAAGTCATAATTTAAATTACCTAATATGAACTCGGTGAAAGAACTGCAGTCACGTTCAAAAGCACCTACGAGATTACTGATGTAGTAAGATGCAAAATGGAGAAAGTCTTTAAGTAAAAGCAATCTATTTCTACCAAATTTCCCATGTTAATTTGAAAAACATTCCAATACGCTGACTTAAAAGGTCCATTTAATTAATACAAAAACATTAATCAATACAAAAACCAAAAAAAAAAAAAAAAGTCTTCTCAAAGGGATCAGGATAGAAAGAAGGGAAAAAAAAAAAAAAAAAAAAGAAGAAGAGAGAAATGTAACTATTTAATCCCATACCTGCGCAATCCTAAATCAGGCTGAGCCTCATCACTGATGAGTTCTGCCTCACTCTGGGCAATTCTCATGGCAAGTTCATGGTCACGACGTTCCTGCTCGAGCACTGCCTGGTGCTGAGTTTCCTCTTCTCGTTCTCTAGCTAGCTGAGCCTCAATTTCAGCCTGTTTTATAAAAACACACCTTTAACCTTATCCAATCAAAGCTAAAATGCTACATAAGCAAATAATTAGAAAAATATGCCAAGCAGTCTACTTACAGCTTTCCAAAAATGCAAAATTTAAGCAGTGGTAGCATCAGTATTTGGTCTGATCAAAGCAAAACAACACAGCTACAGACTGCATCCTAGTTTTCATAGTTCATTGTATCATTATTGTCCACTACTTTTATTACCTTTTCAAATTAGAAAGGCCAAACAATTATTCTTTATTTGAAACGCACATGAAGCTTTGTTAGCTATTATGAAAATTAGACTTCAAAGTTTTTAGACTCATTAAAACTCGTATGATACAGATACACTAACAGTACTCCTCTAACTTTCTGCACGTGGCATTACAGCACTGTGCAACAGGCATTGCGTTGCATGTAAGTCTGTGGTTCATTTTGAAATGGGTTCAAGACGAACACTGGAATCCTCTGTGGACCTGATCTGGCTTTGAATTTCAGCAAACGGTAAAATTCTAACTTACTGCAAACCAGAAGCAATCCAGATATACTGCCCCTAGAGAGCAAAACTCTAATTCCACTTCACCATCATTATTTAACAACGGGTGTTGTACACACAATAAGTAAAACCGACCACCCAATTCACAGTTCTGGAAGTCATACATGCCAAGTCTTAGCGATGTGTGTCTTGATGTCCAGAAGCCAACAAAGGAGAGAAAATTCAATTCCCAGTAATCACCATGAATTTGCACCACTAAAGCAGTGCAGCAATACCAGTGACTTTACCCTATGAATCCTATTTTAGATTAGCTGATAGTAACAACCACTAGGAGGAGAGGTAATGAGTAATTAACTCTATGTAGAACTATAGAAATACCCTACTAGATTATGTATCTGCTTTGTATCCAAATGCAGGATTTCTAAGTAAAAGTGTAAATTACATTCTACATTGTAGAAATCCGCATCTAACGAAAAAAAAAAAAAACAAAAACACCAACACCACACACAAATAAAGACAATCCCTAGAGATGCTCACAGTGATGCCAGACCAAGTTTCTAAATCTTCTGGCAACAGGCCACCTTGCTTCCTCTGTGGACAAAGTTTAATCATTTGCACTGTGCCAGAGTGGAAACTTATCCTACAAATTTCTCACAAAACACCAGGCACATCTGTTATGGTCTCCAAACACTGATTTAGACACAAGTCAAATAGCAGCTTACCCTTTTCATTTTTAACTTCTGCAAGCTGGTAATGCTTACTATTCTCATAGATGTGACAGGCCAAATAACACACGAAACATTCATTTTTCATGAAAGTTAGGCTATAATTTCTCTGTTAGTTCCACTAACTTGTTTGTCAAGAAGGAGAATGAGGTGACAGAAAAACATGCAGATGCAAGGACGATAAGCAGTGCTAGGCTAACTCCCAGGATAACAAGATACAGGAGAAAAATTCTGCTTCTGAATAATCATGGAAATGGCTTAAAAGAGTCTGTAAACATCAGTGACCATGGTCCTGCACTTACTACAATTTCCCCTACAGAGAAGCTTTTTCCCTCTGCAACCGCTCTCCTACATCACCCAATCTCCAAGACAGGAGAAAAACAAGGGTGTAGGCGCCAAACACACTTTAGAGTGAGAGTGCATGCTGGGATCAGTAAGAAGTGTTAGGAATCAAGGGGGAGCAGTGGAGAAGCAGGAGAATACAGAATACATGTATTTATTCTACATGAATGTAGCCAAAGGGGCTACTAGAGACAGCCCAGATGTGACTTCTAGTAAAGTGTGTCAAACTTGTCTGACACAGAATATCTGCAAAAACTTCAAAGGCTAAACCAGAATTCTCCAGTGTAGTGTATTTTTAATTTTAAAATAACATTGAAGACCCTTTAAAAACAAATTCACTGCTCTTCAGAAGACCTGCACATGAACTAGAAATAGGTGATCTGTCTCAGGATGCCCTAATCATGATTTTTGCCTTACATTTACTACTAAAGCAGCATTGCTGAATGACTCCGAGACACACATTTATAAAATGAAATGATTAGACCTAGTGGAGAACCTAAGATATGAAAAAGTTGACTTTTTTTTTTTTTAATTTAAGAAAAAAAACACCAAACACCACCACCACCTCCAAAAAAACCTTACGCAGCTGAAACATTAACCTGAATGCGCTTTTCTTCCTCTTCTCTCTTTTTCCTCTCTTCCTCTTCCTGTTTTCTCTTTGCCTCTATCTCAGATTTCCTATTGCAAAAGAAAAGGAGGAAATGAAAAAATGTTATTATGAAGCAAGTGAACAAGAGATAGGAAAGCATCTTCTATAAACTTGGATGGTAATCCAGAAGTCAGCACAGTCCTGATGACAGGACACTACATGCAATGTCATTAAACTTTCCAAGTCCATTTGTATTTCCAGGTGCATCATATCATTTCTTCCATACTCTATCCTGACTACACTTACCTTACAATCACTGGGAAAAGAAATGCTTTAGCACTACATAGCATACCAGGTGCAGAACCCCAGTACCTCTCTTTAAGCATACAAGTATTAAAGCCAACCTCACTAAAGTGACTTTCCTACTTTCTTCTCATTCTATAACCAGCAACTTATTCACAACTTACAGACGTCTTTCTTCTTCTTCCTTCCTTCGTTGCTGTTCTTCCTCTTCACGTCTCTTCCTTTCTTTTTCCATTTCCTCCTGGATGCGCCGTAGCCTCTCTGCTTCCTCCTCTTGCTGTTTCTTCTTTTGCAGGGCATTCAGAAGCTGCTCTGAGCTCCTAACTAGGGCATCATATTCTTTCTGTATCTGTTCCCTAGTCATTATAGTGGTCTGCAAAAAGAAATAGGAGGAATTATATTCTTTTACATTTGTACTTCACTTTTAAAATTGTATATTGAAAAAAAAACATTAAGAGAAATGAGAGTGTTGACCAGTACAACCAAATTACAGACAGGCCTCAGGGCAGGGGAGCTTGAACACATCCTTCCCTTTCCTCCTAAAATCCTGGGGATCCAATACTCTCCTCTCTCATCTAAAACCATACAAAGTAATCTCCATTTTATCACTGCAATTGAACATGTCTTCATATTTAAACCTTGCTGTTTTAAGCAACAGAAACTAATTCTTTCCACATCAAGACAAAAACTAAGGGTCTCCTGTGTGCAGTTGTGCATTTAGCTGCTATAGTGGTTATTTACAGCTCTGCCTTTTATGTCATAGCACAGAATAGGATTTTTTTTAACTATGTGTGAGCACTCAAAGGGTTGGACTGTGCTGTGAATAACTTTTTTTTAAAAGGTATTAGCAGCAAATAACAGGTTGAAAATGCTTAAAACAATAGCTTTTGCTACATATGTTTTCAAACCTCTTTGACAGATACAATTTAACTTCATTTTGCAACTCACATTGATGTATATTAATAAAACTGCAATATTGGGTGTTTGTTTACCTTTTCTAAGGGTGTATTGATAGCAATTAATAATCATATTATCTTATTTTTATTAGACAAAAAGAACGATAAGATGACAGGTTAACTCTTATCATCTTTCCAACCATGATTTTAGAAAAATCTTAATATAGTACACTACCTAAGAAAGCTATAATATTGCATGAAATAAAAATTCATCACATTAAGTTTCTTCTAACATTGATATATTAATAAATCCCAGCGTGCTTTCATTTTGCCTTTGTAGTAAGAAACGGAGAGCTAGAGATCCTGAAGCATAATCAGCAAGCTGAACTCTCTCAACTACGAAGTCTGAAAAAGCCTCTGTTGTGGTCCAGTAGCAGTGGGTACTGGGTCAGGATACTCGTGACTTTCTTTCCGCCCAACAGGACTGGAGAGGATTATAGACGGGGTCGAGACAATCACGTGGTGTTCGTCCCTCCAGGGTAGATCGAAAATAGTCCTTTGTCACGTTCAAGAATTATTATCGAGGCCAATATTCAATATGTGGGGTTTGTGGTTTATTAAAGGCTAACACTGGTTGGTGATTGAGAGTTCAAAGATTTAAAATGATCAGTTCTTCAGATGGCGCCGATAGGAAGTCCGAGGATGATGGGGTCTGTAGTTTTACATCATCAAAATGGCCGACCGAAATTCCGAGGATCTTCTGGGTAGCTGCAGCCTTCTGCCTTCTGGGTAATGTAGTGCACAGTCACAACAGCAGCTGGCAGGACTCGGCAGCTGCAGCTTCACCCCCAGCAGCCGGGGTGGGGGAGATACGGCCAGGCCGGCTCAGCTTGGGGTGTCTCAGCCCCTTTTAGCTCTGGAGAGCTCTGTACAGCTCTGTGTAGCTCCGTTTAGCTGCACTGAAACCCCAGGGGAAGGCAAAAGCTCTGCTTGCCCGGGATTGGAGAAGGGAGCTCTCTGGACTGTCCCTGTGCAAAGTCAAGATGGCGAATCCAGCCAAAAATGAAAGTAACCATTTTTATACTGCCTCTTATCAAGATGAGACTGTTCCACGAGTTTCTATAGTAGTTCTATCCCAGATCCAACGGATAGTGTTACAGGATTATTGTTTGTTGTCACAAAAGACATAATAAAATTAGCCAATAAAGAAATGCTGTTTGGCACAGCCTCTTAACTGGAATATATACCTCTTTTCTCTGTGATAAATGCATGTATATTTCATCCCTGATTAATTCAAAACATTGCTAATATGCACGTTCCAATAATAAAAACAACAAGTAAATTATTAACACTTGTCTCACAATATCAGCATGCATTTTTATTTTAAATTCTCCAGTGTCTATTTTGAAACACAGATAATAATACCAAAGTCTAGATGTATGCACCCAATTTCAGGATTCACTTCAGTTACACTCAAAATTTTAAACAGGATTTACCCAGTGCCTCTGAAAATTAAGGCCCCTATGTTAAAGTATATTTTCTCTTAAGACCAATACTTTGGCATTCTACTTTAGATTAAGTTTTTAAAAGACTCCAGTAATAAGAAACTACTTCTCTAATTATTACCATACCTTAATTTTGGTCATTGAAGCATCAATAGAATACTCCAGCTCCTTGACCTGCTTGCTTGTCTCTGCCTTCCCGTCCTTCAGAGCACTCACTACTTCATTGAATTTATCGAGTCTCTTCTTCAGCGTACGGACTTTTATCAGGCCATCAATGCTGGGGAGGAAGACAGTTTATTTGTACCTTGACCTGTTTTTACAAGATGATATTTTTAAAACCAGCACTAATCAGTCACATTAAAGAGGTGGATAGGGGAGACAAGTTATGCCTTGTGATAAAACTCACCCTCTTTTTTTTCAAATTCAGACATTACTGTATGAAGTAACTAAGCAGTGGCATCTTTTGCAAACAATAATTAAAACTGATAAGCAGATGGCAACTCCAAATGGAAAAATGCTTTTTTATTTTGAGAATTAATGTGGGTTGTTTGTTGGTTTTGTTGGGTTTGGGTTTTTTCAAAGAATAAATCATTACTATCCATGGGATGATTTTGACTGGAGTAGATAAAGGATGAGTTTCACCACTTACTCAAAGAGCAATAATGGGACTGAACCAGACAAAATTTAATACACAGCAGGGAACCCACTTGTTAGACCCACTTTTGTTAGACCCAAAAAAAAGAATCTAGGAAAACTCAGAGCTTTTTAAGAATTATTATTCAAGGCCATATATACAAGTTAAAAAGTCTGTAGAGACAGTTTTCCTAGAAAGAAATCACTGAACTAGGATTCAGGAAAACAACACACAAGAAGTAGAAACTAAGTCAAATAATTGAAGATGAGTACAGAACAGCTTAAAAATACAGAGCCGTGGTCAGAAATGTTAAGGTACAAAAATAAATACAGCCATCAAAGGATGTAAAAGAAAACATTTTGTAAGAACCCCACTATCAAAGAACAAAAAGGTGTCTTCAGAGCTTAATGATTGAAGTGGTTTTTCCATCAGTATTCCATACAGTTAGATTAAACCTAATGGAATTAATTTCAAGAGGAGACAAGACACACAATTATTTTTAAGATAAAAAAGAAAAGGGGGTCTACAAAGGAAGGTGTAAACAGATAAAGGACAAAAATTAATGAGCTTAGATGTCATTTAGAGAGACTGGATTTCTAGTAACTAGGTTACTACCGAAGGATTTTATGAACAAAGAGCTAAATAAACATATCTGTGGAAAGGTTTAAATTTAGTCTATTCATCTTTGGGCAAGAGAGGAGGAACACAGCACCACTCCAGGTTTCGTTCAGTTGTACTTAGTATTATTCTATGACTTCAGATGTACTTACTTAAGCACAGTAAATTTCCTCTTTACATTCACAAGAAAATACTATTAAAAAGATCTGTTTCCTTCAGCCAAGGAACATCCTCTTACCGTGGTTTGTGCTTTCTCTTGCAAAGCCACATACGAACAGTCTTTTGCATTTTAATGCAGGCACTGGCTCGATATTTTATCTTATTTTTCACTGTAAACACACAGAAGAGACAGAGTATCAATGGTGTATACAATTTAACACAACTCCTACCTTGCTCGCACACTTGATGGCTCAAAACAGCGTGTTAGCTACATGTGCTTGAGAGCGAGGTCTATACTGGAACCACAACACATAAGACAGAGCAGACAACAGAATTTTCAATTCTGAGCCAGGCCATAAAGGCTTCCCCCCAAAACAAACAGGAAGAATCAAGCATATATGTGCACACCACACACACACCCCAGACTGACAGACAACAATAACCTCAGTGAAAAGTGACTGGCCCTAGCAAGCAGGAAATACTCAGCTCAAAACCCTCCTTTATGTACCTAACAGAAAGCACTAAAAAAAAAAAAAATCTCACCAACCTTGAAATCAATTACTCAGAATTTAGTATGGAACCATCTGCTATACACACTCTTGGCCATATTTCGAGGTGATAATAACTGTTTTTCAATATTTTTTAACAAAATTTTTGACTCAATAAAACATAAAATACGCACATTTAATCACTGAGAGAGAACACCATTGAACTTTTTTCCAACGACTGCAGATCAGCCAGCGATTCACGCGCTTCACTAGCTCTGCCAAGTGATCCGGGTCAGACTTCATTATCTGATCAAACTCTGCAAACTAGATAATAAAAACCCAAAACGTTTGACCAACTAGGAGAATAGAGAGCATTAAATGTTATTACTTAAGAGCACGTGGAGTTAAAAAGGTAAAATATTTCTAATGTAAACTGTATACCATCATTAGATCAGTTTTCAGTTAATTCAAGTGAGCAGGTGTGTCTGGCATCACTTTATTCTTTAATGATAACAGAAATGACTACTGGGGTTTTTTGTTCGTTTGTTAGTTTAACTGATTGGCAATGCACCATTTTGAATAATCCAACCATTTATTAACCATTAAAAATATTTATTGCCAAATTTTAAAAAAAATATTTGTTTCTCTACATCCAGACTAATTACTCTGGCCTTCCACAACTTCAAGATACTTTTAATTCTGTATCTGGGAAAAAATAAAACCCCTAAAGTACTTCTCACTTTTTAACCTTTGTATAAGAGTCCAGCTGAAAGCAACCTTTTTGCAGAAGGTCCTACTGGTTGCACTTCTTTTTTGGTAATTATGACAGTAAGAACATTCTTATGGGACTAAAATAATTTTCCTGTCTAGTCACAACAGCTCCCTGTTTCATCTCCTTTCTTTGCATAGCAGCAGCAATGCTTAGAATCACAGAAAGAGATTTCAGCTATAAATAGATTTTACTAGAAAATCTTTTTCTTTGCTCTGGTTTGTTCTTTTTAACATCCAACATAGGTCTTAACTGACTGGTAGAACATCTGGGAACACAAACACTGCATTAAGAATACAACAACATCAGCAACAAGACTATGAAACCAATTATGTCAGTATTGATTTTTTTTCATAGAAAATGAACAGTATTTACAAAAAAAAAAACCCTAGGCAACCATATTTAATTACCAATGTGCTGAAAAATCTCATTTTCAGAGGTCCTTTCCAACCAAAATTATTCTAAAATTCACATTCATGAACTCCAAAAGAAACATTACCTTGCCTGGTCTAAAAAACACTTTGGTTAGTCCAAATTTGTAATCATTTTCATTCAGTCCCAAGGCTTTAAATAGTGCCTGAAATACAGAAAACAGTTAGGATCACATTTTTAAAACAAACAATATGTTCAAAAATCAAAATATATTTTCTGTCCCAGATAGTACAGAAGAATTAATTTCTTTCTTACCTTGCAAAAGAGCCTAGGATCCAGCCGAGCCAATTTGTCAGGCAAGTATTTCTTGTACATGTTATATAGTTCATGAAATGAAGCTCGTGAAGGGAAACCACCTTGCATCAAATCCAGAACTGACACCATTCCTAAATTCGTAGAAACACAGGCACAAATGCTGGTATCGGTAAAATGCCAACGAAGCAGTGACTTTTATGATAACCAGCAGTTTATGACATAAGTCTCAAACACTTTGCTCAGAGACTAAACCACAAAGTTCAGCTGGGTTTTGATTCAGCCTCTAACATTTCTTGATCAAGTGATCATTCACATGAAGTTAATACTGTACAGATGAGAAGCACCCAGACAATCTTCTCTGTTTCAGAGGTAACACCTAATCAATACAGAGTAATTTTTTCTAATATTTCTTCTAAATATTTTTTCTTTTTTAGAAGACTTCACATTTTCATTTAAAAAAAAAAAAATGTCCAACCAGGCATTTACTTGCATCATGTCAATGATACTTGAGATGTGGTGCAGATACAAGTTCAAATTCATATGCCGTGCTAGAGCATTTTTACTTACAGTACCAGGTATCAGCTGCTAAGATGTAATTTTAATGTCCTAAATACTACACTACTGATGTCCTAGTGGCAGCCAAAATGTAAAGGACAAAGTCAGTAAAAGGTTCAAATTACTTCAAGCATTATAGGCCACATCAGTTTTTGACTGCTGCTTTACATAACCCTATCAACAGATTTTGCATGTTAAGTTTGTAAGGCAGCCCTTAACTTGTAGTCTTTAAACTTAAATCTTTTGTGTATTTGCTTTCAACAGAAATGTGATTTGTTTAAAATATTTTTGGAGGAAGGACCTAGTGTATAGGATTACATATTGCTCTTTTAATATTACATGTTAGAACTTTATTTTATGAGATATTCATTTACTCTTGCTCAAGTGGCTTGTAAGACATTACAATTGTTGGGGGCAGGATGGAGTTAATTTGTTATATTTTTCCTTTTGGACATGCCAAATGCCATTAACCTGAAGAAATCTGATATTAATAATGCTAATAAAATCTAGTTGCTGACAAGTTGATAAGCTTTTGTGACAATAACATGACATTTTAAACATGTGGTGTTGTCAAAATATCTGCTGCAGAATCTGGAATTATCTTGACTTCAAGAAGAGAAATAATTAAGCACAAGCTAACGTACAAAAATGCAGAAAAGGAGAGGGGAAAAAAAAAAAAAACACAGCCCACCACTACTTTGATGAAAAAGCACCCTATGAAGAGCAACAATACCAGCACTCTAATTCCCAAACAAGCTAGTTCCTTCCACCATTCAGTGGGGCAAGAGCAAAACTGTTAATATTCTCTCTTTAAGATATAACTGTAAAATTGGAAAGTGCTACCATTTCAAGAGTAATGAAAATGCAGCACTGCAATCTGTAGCATACAAAGCAACAGGAAAGACTATGCTGAAGTGCCCTTGTTGGAAGTTCAGCTCCAAAACAAATTAACAGTGGTATAAAGAAAATTAGAAGTAGTACATCAACACAATTAACTCTATAATAGTATCTGTAAAATCAAAGAAAACAGGTGTGTTTCTTTTATTAGATCTCAGCCAATACTCCCTGCCTCTAAATGCACACAGGAGTTCCTAATGCAACTGCCACAGTAATTGAAAGGAATTCTATTGTTCTGAACTGCTGCCCTACTAACATTGTAGGCAATAGAAAGTGATAGGATTCAGCTCTGGGTCAGGAAATCTAAATTTATGTACCAATATATGGCTACACAGCTTCTTATGTATGCACCCCGTGTCCAAACTCTCATTATAATCAATGGGAAAACAGTCGATGGAAATTACATCAACTCTTCTTGTGAACAGAAGACTTTATGGCTGTTCAGATGAATTATTTCTAGGGTCCTATTGATTAAAATGAGAGCTAAGTTCCTAAAAATCTAAATAACTCTTCATAAGGCATAAATAAGCTACCTCCTAGCAAGCAACAGTTCAAGCAAGGAAATACTGCTTCCACCTCACATATTTCAAACTTAAGTCAATCTATTATGCCCAAAGTAATAAACAGAGGGAAATATATTAGAGGCATATATTACCTGAACACTGAAGCTGAGAGAGGATCTGTCCTCCTTCAAAATGGTGATTTGTCATCTTTAAATTAGGTTTGATACAGCGAATAAAGCTGGATCCCTATTACCAAAACAAGAGGTTAGTAGTATCTACACATTTTTAAACCTCCTGAAATCACAGTTAATCATATAAGATCTATGGGTGGGGAAAAAAATATACAAAATAATAGTGTTCTAGAAGAGAAATGCTGATATTCTTTTTCTCTCATGTATCAGTAATGCATTCTAGCCTCCGTTTCCATGTAACCAATCTCAGTACTCAAGCTATTAATTAAATTCTCAACTTTTGAGTTTTCACTCAAATGTTCTTAACATTAGTACTGTCTAATTACAATTTAGGAGCCTACTATGCTCATCATCTTCTACAGTCACATCAACTAAACGCCTCAAGCCTCCAGAGTTCACATGAGTAAACATGCTACAAGTCTCATGACATTGGAATCACACCAGATGAACCTGACCTTCCCTTCTTCTAACTTCTATTTTTTACTTTTTTTTTTTGGCTTGTGGCTTCACTTTCCTTTCCCTCATGTTCTTCCACTGTGCTCCTCTTATCAGCATGCCTGCTATCTCTACAAGTTTGACTCCTGTTTTCTCTGATTGTTTCACATTCATTAATGATGACATTTTTCAAAACACCACCCAATTATTCAGGTTTTCCTATGGCAGGTGGCTGCCAATGATAACCTACCTTACATACTACACCAAAAATGGGACTGAGAAAACAGTATTACTCCTGGTTTGCAGTGTCTTCTCTTTCTTTACATCTCTCAGCTGAGAATGAGAGAGCACCTCCCAAGGGAGCTCTATACTGACAATATATCCTTAGTCATGGGTTAGCTAAGCCCAGAGTGGCAGAAGCCTGACCACACTTTTTCCCTGGACTGGGTCTCAGCTGCAGAGTATTCTGTGTGAAAGAGAACATCTTTCTTTCAGACCTCACAAGTACAGTAAAATCTGATTGTTAGCTACACTCCAGAACCTATCCTGTTTGTTTCCAATGTTTTTCTTCCTTTTTCTTTTTTTGACAGAACATAACCTCATATCTAGAATCAGTCAGAACATGTGGCCACAAGAAAAAGGAATATGTTCCTACAACACCAAGTTCTAAAAACTCAAACGTGTGTTGAACTACAATGATAATTTCACAAACTATCAAATTACATCATCTAAATTAGTAAAACTTATTAGGGGAATGAGGTTCTTCAACCATCTGTGCATTCACAGCCTATCACAAAAGTGAAATGAAACATTTTATTTTTAACAGCTTTATGGGATCCAAAAACAGTAATTAATAATAAATTATCATCTGCCTTACTTTTAAAGAACATCTGTAAATCTGCATATTAGTCATCAATGACAACCAGTGAATAGAAGGAAGCAAAAGGGACAAAAAAGGAGATTGCAGGCCAGACAGATTTCATACTGTTTACTCAAATTGTGTAACTTTCATTCTACAACAACTTTTCTAAAGGTGGTGTGATTTTTTTTTTTTTCAAAAAAGAAACTCAATAATCATCACCTGCACAGCAAGACATTTCAAAAGCATCACATAACTGCAAACTCCAAAGCAATTACTTATCACATTTATTGTAAGCCATATTGTTGAGATAATCAATTATGACTTATGTCAGAAAATTATGAACTTGCATCTGTATATATACTTACAGTACTGTGAAGCTTCTCAAGAAGCAAATTTAACTGAGTCTGTAAAAGAAAACAGATATTTCAAGAGTCTTGCCATGACAGCTACAGAAATACACAGGTACAGCATTACTGCATGCATGTCCATTGTTAGTAAATCAGACAGAACTGATTAAATCACATGTTCACAGACAGAATCATGCAAGTGTGCATGAATGGTCCTGAGGAAATTGCTTGTGTTTAGCTGTACAGAGACACTGTATGGACTAGTTACTTACTATGATGCAGTTATCAAAAAAAGTGAAAGCTCATTTGAGAAAAAAAAAAAAAAAATTCCAAACTTCCAAATTTTTAATTGTTGATGATGATAGACTATAATTTTAAAATCACATTTACTGAGGCTGGATTTAAACATACTGTGGTGAGAAAGGGCCATGGTCCTATGATTATTTGCCCCCTCTGGGGACAAGTTTAAACAATCACCAGCAGCTTAAGGCTGTCGAGGAAAATGAGTTACAGTTGCTACCAAATGAAATTGGTAGGGACTTGAAATGTTCCAGAACCACATCAGGAAAACAGCTGTACTTTTACCTTACAGATGTGTCTGTTTTACCACATAGATTATTAGTGTGCCAGCCTTTCTAGATTACTAGCAAGTTTTCAGTATATACCCTGAAGAAAGACAAAATTCTGTATGTCCTAATGTATTCCTCATTTTCTGTACTGGAAACAAAATTGAAAGGATCTGACTTTTGAACTTTTTTTTTTTTTTTAACCAGATCTTTCAGTTACTTTGAATCCAAGAAACCAGATTTCTATAGGCAATGTGTGTCACCTACAGCTGCAAGCTGTCCTTCCAGTGCGTAAAATTGATTTGGGTTTTTTCTTTAACTTATCATGGATGTGGATAGAAAGAAAGGAGTGCCACAAGAGGCATGACAAACACTAATAACCTCCTGCTCAGTTCTCACTTACACATACTCTTTATATTTCTACTCGAATGCAGTCTTTATGTTTTCTTCAGTTACAAATGCTTAATTTTGGAAGGGACAGCCTAATTTCCATCAACAAAATACATTTCTGCTAGAGGAAAAAAAAACCCCTTCCTTATACTCTGTCATTTGACAAGAAATAAGCCAGAGCCATTCTCAGGTAAATTTCACTAATTAAATGATCATATTAATAAAACACATTGCTAAGTCTACTGCTCTTTGAATTATTACAGTTTAACTGATCGTTGCCATAGTAAGGTAAAATAATTCTGAAGATTCTTGAGTAGATCTGATGAACTAATTAATCATTATTTCCTCAACTGATTTATAAGAATTAATTTTAATTAGTTATAAGGAAGGGATGTGTGAAGGATTTCATAAACAGAATTCCCTGCAACAGCATCTAATTATTAAGGTAATTAGAGGAATTTGAGACTGACTGACATACTGATGCACTAAGAATGCTTATTCTTAAAGAGATTAAATTGCTACTAAGATAATAGAACTTATTTTTATGTGATCTGAATTGAAATTTTCAAGGCTATTAGTGTTCATCAGCAGCCCATGTTGTGTCTGGGAAGGTAACACCAAATGAATTACTGGAAGTAACACATACATTCAAAATGCTATGAAACTTGAAAACACTGAAAGAATTATAGATTGATGGGCCAGATCCAAAGAGGACTTTAGTCATGTTCTAGGTGTAGAGGTGAACACCAAAGTCCAAAAGGCAATCCAAAAAGTTCCCCACTCAATTGTTGCTTAACTTAAAAAATGCTTCCCTTGTTACTTCATCCCTCCTTGAACAATGGTATCATTTACATGGCCACATCTACTGGATGTGGGGTGCTAAATCAAAGAAGAATTGAAAACCCAGATGAAAGGAATTGGCAACCATCTCAAAGATCCCAGTTGGTTTCATTTGGATTCTAGTTTCACCTACAACAGACTTGTGGTTGCAGGATTGCCTCAGGACGTGGCTTACTTGTATGTAAATGCATTTTTCAGTCTGCCTTCTGATCATGCACTTCATATTGGACCAATTGTTACAGTTTAATTCTACAACCACTATGTAATAAGGCGGAGGAGGAAATAATCATCAGAGCTAAACTCAAGAAAACAGGCTGCTCAACTCCCAGTTAAATAATAAAACCACTTTTTGTGGTTTTATTGACCTTACATGTCAGGCTCTGTCTCCTACTTCTCCTGGCCCTATCAAAGTTCTATTTCTGGCTACATAACAACCCAGCTACAGAAGGGCACAAGGAGAATCCCCTTTGTCAGGCTGACCAATAACTTGGCACTATAGGAAATAAAGCAGACATAAACCACCAAATACAGCATAGACCTGAAGCAGAACACTGTTGCCACACAAAAAGCAACTGCTGCTACCATATACTTCCTGCTCTTCAGTCCCTGCATTTTCAGAGAACAGTTCTAAACACAAGCCACAAGCTAAAACTATGCAAGAAGGAATTTATCTTGCAGTCCTCATTCAGCACCTAACCTCGACATGCTCTTCTGCTATTGGAAGTGTCCCACTCTACAAGAGAGCTCTCGGGTTGTGTGAGATACCTGCTTTCCCCATGGACTACATAAGGAGTCTAGCTAGGAACAAGAAGTGGGGTTTTAGGTGCCCTAGGTAGGGCAGCATACCAAAAATGTTACATCACTGGACTTGAAGGCATACAAATCCTTCATTGGATCTGGCCCAGATGCGTTGGGAAGAGCTCTTGCTGAAATTGCAGCAGCTCTACCAACAGTAAATCCATGAGATTGAAAAATTTACCTGCAGCCCACGGTTGTGCCTGCTTTTCATCTCTTAATTCCCCTATAGCTCTCTTTCTAGCCATCCTGAGCTGGAATAATCCAGCTAAAATAAAATTGCTGAATGAGAAAAGGATGCAGAAAACATTTGGAGAAGACAAGGTTTGAAGGTCAGCTTTACATCAAGCAGAAGAAAGGAGAAATGAGGAGAAGCATCAGATTCAGGTATTGAGAAACAAGGAACATCTTTCTGTGAAAGCCATGACTATCTATATTTTAGAAGAGGAAAAACAGTGGTTAGGTTAGGTATTGAATTTTGAGAATGGCAAACTGTAGCCAATTGATATAACTTCTAGAATGCACAATTAAGATAGGATGGAAGAACATTTTTTTGTTGGATTTAGAACCCCTGGAAGTCCACAGAACCCAAATTTGCATCTCAAGACTTTAAACCATTTGAATAAAGACTTGTATGTAGCTTCACAAAATTCTAACAAAATTACTGTATAATCTCTGTAAGTACTATTCTGAAACATCTTTTTGACAGAAATGCTTAGCACGTAGCTTGGATATACTGGTTTCTTATAATTCAGCAGAAAACCCACCTATTTTAAAAATTTTCTTTGTGTAAATCTCAAGTTACTACTAGTTCTCCCAACCTTATGTTCTACTTATTTCAGGTAACTTAAAAGTGGCATACAATAAAAGATCAGATTCTTTTTTATATTATGTTACCTTGAATTTGTTTCCTACACTGATGAAACTAAGTTTCCCAGCTTTTTGTTTGGGATCCTTGTTGTTGTTAGTGCTAGACTCAAACAGCTGTCGAACAAATTTGTCCTTGGATTCACATATAAGAGACTCAAGGGACATGTGCAAAGCATCATTGTTTTTTTCCACAAATTGCATCTGAAAAAGACAACCCAATAAATAATACCACATTTGTTTCACTGTTCCAGTTACTTAAGTCTTAAGGAAAACTGAAGAAAACAAAGTTATATACTTAACTTAAAAAATCAGCAAGAATATATGGGATAAATATTCATACATTATTTCAAACAATTTTTCAACTGGATATGGAAAACACTAATGGCAGAGGGAAAATATATTCTTAAATATCTCATTGACCTTGTTAGAATCATAAACCTAAGGTAAGGTTTAGTGCCTTTGAAGAGATCAGTGGTAGTTTTGTCAGTGATTTTTCTCCATGTTTCCACTTCCAGCACTCAGCACATCATCACTTGGGAGTTCTGAAAAGCTTAATTCTTCCCTGCTTGCAGTATCACTTAAGATCTACTGTGAAATGTGAATTAACATGCACACTTTAATTGGTGCATCCGTACAGTTTGGAAAATGACATGAAAAATTATTATTTTAGTAGAATTATGATTCCTTAAATTCCAAAATTCCTCCAAAGTTCCCTTGGACTATGAAAATACAGTATTGGAATATGAATGAAGCCAGACAAGCATCCTTACCAGAAATCATGTTGTGAGAACTGCCACAAGTGCAGTGAGGAAGAAACAAGTAATGGGTGATGTACAAGACAACTATAGTCCAAAATTTTTTTTAAGACTATGCAAGTCCCTCTCAGGGAGGGATAAATGAAGTCAAGCATATTAGCATAGCTTCTGGACCAAAAGCTACCTCATATCTGATTAACTCTGTCAGCAGAACTTATGCACTTATATCTGCCTCCTCTGTTCCTGAAAACATTCTAAGGTATTATTAACATACCATGGTGAGGCACACAGCTAAATATAGAGCACTTGGAACAAACCTGTTTCTATTTCATGTGTTTTTTTAATATTGATTCCCTGAGTGACCTCAGAAAATTCAGGTGGGTAACACACAGACTTCAATTTTCTTATTTGTAAAATGACCTACACAATATGTCTACTTCAAAAAAGGATAACAATTGTTATCATTCTTGGAGTATTTTGAAGTAACTAAGAACAAGCCCTTAAAGTACACATTTTCAAATGACAAAGATACATCTTTGGAACTATCAGTGCTCTTACACACTGCAGTTACAGACCAGAACAACAAAGCATTACGGATTTTCTGTTTATCCTAAACTCATATTTTTATAAAAATTAGGGTTTAGATACTGGCTTCAGGTGTTTCAGTGGTTTTGTATGATGAATAGTCAAAAAACCACAAGAATCTGGAAAGTATCTTGAGGATAGTAATTTCAGGTATTCTGTATTCCTACAAAAATGACTATTACCAGTAGAAATGGAAAACCAAAAGTATAAAATGCAATTTTTAAGAGAACATAAATAGTGATTGCATACAAGGATAGGTATGCTTCCAAAAAGCTACTCTTTAGTCTAATAAAACCTTTTTATCATGCAGCATATTCCTCTCCTCAAGATAACAACGTGTTGATTTAAGATTTGCAAATCACAAATCAATATATTTAATATTGACACCATTACCTACAGATTTGTAACAAACTCTTACACAAAATGTATGTCACCAAAACAGTCTGTAATCTGAGAAATTAAAAGAAACTGTTGACTCTGTCACATACAAACAAGACTAAGACATATCAACTCCTGAAATTCTCTTCTGATGAAAGGAAATATTGTTTAACCTATACACACTGAAAACTATGAAACTACTACAAAGCATTAAGAAAAATAGTTTTGTCTAAGTAAAATTACCGTCTCATAGCAAACTGCTCCTGCAAAATGTCGGATAATAAAGCCTTCATCATCTCTGATATTTCTGTGAACAGCCAGTTTAGACTTCCTGGGAATCTGGAATTAAAAAGTTGAATTACAAAGAAAAATTACACTGGAGAGTAAGAAAAAAAAATTTATTCTTAAAATATCATCATGACTCTTTCAGAAGTCTTAAGTGTGAAAAATGGTACTTTCTGCAGTACAATTGTGATAACAACCACATCATTCCCATTCAAACCAACATATTCCAAAAAACTATTTTCACTCCCATTTACACCCTTAGTTACCTCACATTCAAAATAAAGTCATCAGGATTGCTAACACCTGTTAGTTAATTTTCTTCTTGCTTTTAATCAACAATTTCTATACCTTTCATTCCACAGCTGATGAATGGCCTTAACATATGAATAGGATTAGACAGAGGCTTAAAATACGTTTTTAGATGGTATATTTTAAAAGGCAAACACCAAGCTGATTGCACACATACCAACAAAAATGTTTCACTGCAGAGCAATCCAGTTAAGTAAGACTGAATAGAAATCTAATGGCAGGTAAAAGGATGACAGCTTTATTTGCCTTTCTCTGCTTGCATTTCTTCAGCCGGAAACTAATTTTTTTTTTCATTCATTCATATCATGTATATAAATTGCAATAACTTGCATTAATATCCCACAGAGCGCTGCATGTTAAAAAATTAACAACCAAAAGTTTTTCCTTGTCTGTTCCCCACTTTCAACTCTAAAGTGCTAGCTAGACATTGCATATGTGTCAAACATACTCCAAAGCAAGCAGTTTTTTGAAAGGAGTGACAAAATAGGTCATCTGATATGAAATAATCTAAATTAAAATGTGTTTTTATACCCTTTTCCTGCATTACTTGTTTACAAACATCAAATGTAAGTGAAGAATATGGCTTCAGTTACAGCAGGATATTAGAACTGCTAGAAGACTTAAGACTTCAGTGAACTTTCCAACAAACCTAATAACCAAACTTGTCCTTAACAAAAGAATACAGATTGCGCAGACTGGTGTGGTCCAAGACTTCTTAGGAAAGGTTTTCATTAAGCTGAAGTGTTACTATCAACTGCTCCAAGAACGGTTTTATTAAAACAAGACAGACAGCAAAAATAAACCTACAGAGAGCCTGAAATGGTCTTTGTGTTTTTGGTGCACAACTGATGTAAAATGCTGGTCGCTTGGCTGAGGAAGACGATTTTCTTCATCCAAAATATCCAGTACACCTATTAACTTTGCTTCAATCAAATCTATTAATAAAAGAAAATATATTTACAAAAGTTTAATATATAAACTCATATCAGGAATAAACATTACCAGTTTAAAATGCTACTGATCCAATTCCATATGAAGGTATCTAAAGAATGCTGTTAACATAAAATACAAAAAGTCACTGCAAATTAATTCTATGTATCTCACCTTTTGATTTAATCAATATCCTATACATACCAAGTTATAACTCTAACACACAACGAACATGGGGGGAGGGGAGAAATCAGGCACAGATTGTTCAATTTTTGCTCTGGCTAAAAGCTGAACTTAATCATCTAATTCCTCAAAAGGTGCCTAAATGTTTCTGTGATATGACCATTGGTCTTTATGGGATAATTGTTTTTGTTGTTGGGGATTTCTTTAAGCTTTTCATCCATGTTTCACCACATGTCAAAACTAAAAGCAGGAAAAGGTACACACTTCCCTGCACAACAGGATCCAGGGAGAAAACTAAAATGCATTTCTTTTAAGGAAGGCAGATCAGACTTGAAATTCACGCTCTTGAAGCCAGCTACAAGAACCTTGCAGCTTTTAAAACTTTTTTTGTATTCTCTACAAAACTGCTCTTGTAAGAAGAATTTTTCCCACCTTTTTTTTTTTTTTTTTTCTGTTGAAAGGAAGAAATGAATAATGCTTGTACTGCAGCAATGCCTAGGAACTCTTACTACAGATTGTAAACAGTATGAAGCTCTACATAAAGCCATGACAGCTCCGATGCAAAGAATTTATGTTTATAAAATCTGAATAAGCTCATTTAGCTACAGAGATGAGTACCATTTCATTAAAACAGTCTAACATTAATGAGTGTTTCCAAGATTCATTCATAGTGTTAAAAAATTGTCCATGTCAACGTCCACGTCCTTCTCTTTTGTGACAGTTAATATTTCTACAAGCTCACTGTTGTCAACGGCCTGGTCCAACACCTTAAACAAAATCATATTTTAACAGAAATCAACATTTTCTCATTCATTTCAAAAGGCAGTAGAAAATCCTTCTCTCCTGACCATTTAAGAACAGGAAAAAAAGGCACACATGCTGTGATTTAATTAAGCTAAGCTATAATTTATTAACTTATGTAAAAGTAATTTCACACAATGAAGAAACTGATCATGTCTGTGGTAGAGTGTCATTTACTGGTTGGAATAGTAAAAGGGGTCATGACTGGGGGGACTGCTACCTGTATCTTTAGGTAAGCTGCCCAAACATTTTCCATAGCAGGAAAAAGCAGCACCTTGGCAACAACCTTTACAGCCTGACCTATTTTCCCACCATGCGGCAGACAGAGACCTTTT